AAGGCACTGGCCCACGAGCTGCTGAGCCTTCAGGGAGGCCTCAGCTGTGCCTACTACCTGGCCCTGGCCTGGAGCTACATGATGCAGGAAGAGTTGCCCAGATGTGCGGAATGTCTGTGCGAGGCCGTTCGCATCGACCCCCTGGTAATGCCCGTGCAGTGCTGGTGTGTGAGAGCCCAGAGCCCCTGCTGTGTTCCCACTTTGCCATTCCAGTGCTAGGGCAGAGCATTTCAGTGGGAGGCAGACACTCCAGGCTGTGGCTGCAGCACTGCTCTCTTTGTTATCCCGTTGTCACAGCCTCCTGTCACTCCCTGCACAGGCAGGCAGCATCTCTGAGCCTGTCTTTGTCTTTCCCTCTGCAGCATCTGCCTTTCTTTTCTGTCTCAATAGGTATATCCTGATCCTCTGTCCCTGGGTGGGGGAGCTGGGTTCTGTTTCATGACAAACAAGGTTGCTATTGAGCTCTCTGTAAGTAGGGTGGCTTTGGGGAGGCAGACTGAAAGAAAGGCAGAGGGAAGATGACACCTGGGAATGCTGTGTGCAGGCAGGACACTGGGCAGGGAGCTGGAGGGGGATCCTATTGCTGCAGGCAGCACACTGACCTTAACTCTCTCCATAAATCCTGCCCTGATATCACAGAATCATGGGATTGTTTAGGTTGGAAAAGCCCTCTGAGATTATCAAAACCAACCATTCCCCAGCACCATCATGTTCACAATTAAACAATGTCCCCAAGTGCCACATCCACACAGCTTTTAAATCCCTGCGGGGATGGTGACTCCATCACTGCCCTGGGCAGCTGTGCCTGTGCCTGACCACCCTTCCCGAGAAGATATTCTCCCAATATCCAGTCTCAGCTTGTCTTGGCATAACTTGAGGCTGTTTCCTCTCATCCTGTCCCTGTTCCCTGGGAGCAGAGCCCGACCCCCACCTGACTGCCCCCTCCTGTCAGGAGCTGTGCAGAGCCACAAGGTCCCCCCTGAGCCTCCTTTTCTCCAGGCTGAGCCCCTTCCCAGTTCCCTCAGCCCCTCCTGGTGCTCCTGACAGTTCCCAGCTCTGTTCCCTTCCCTGAACACGCTCCAGCCCCTCTGTCTTTCCTGTCATGAGGGGCCCAGGACTGAACACAGCACTGGAGCTGTGGCCCTGCCAGTGCCCAGCACAGAGCCACAAGCCCTGCCCTGCTCCTGCCAGCCATGCCATGGCTGACATAGGCCAGGGGCCATTGGCCTGTTTGCCACCTGGGCACACCTGGCTCTGCTTCAGCTGCTGCCAACCAGCACCCCCAGGTCCTTCCTTTGCCACCAGGCAGCTTCCAGCCACACCATCCCCAGCCTAGAGCAATGCACAGGGAGTTGTGATAATACAGTGAAACACTGCTCAGCTCCTCCTTTCTACTGCTTGCAGTGTCCCAGCCCCCCTCTCAGGTGTTTCTCCTGTCTGTGTCTCACTCCTGGTTTTTGTTGCACAGAATCCAAATGTCTGGGCCCAGAAAGGGCACCTGTGCTACCTGCAGAAGGACTTTGACAATGCAAAGGAGTGCTACGAGCGAGTCATCAGCTTTGTGGAGGATGCTGTGGATATGCACTTTGTCTACCTGCGCCTGGGCTCCATCTACCTGGAAGAGAAAGAGGTGAGGAGCCAGCAGGTCTGTGGAGGGGAAGTACCACAAAACAAATCACTCCTGCAGCAGCAGTGGGGCCCGTGGGTGTCTGAGCCCCATGGCAGCAGGGTGTTTGACAAACCCCTGTCTTTAGATGTCTGTCTCTCTCCTGGCAGTACGACCGGGCCAAGCACATCTACCTGCTCGCCTGTGACAACTCTGCCTCCTGTCTCACCTGGCTGGGTGTGGGCATCGCTTGCTACAGGGTGAGTGCAGCTGCTTTCATGTCCTCTGGGCTTCACTTGGTGCCATGGGACATGGGGCTTGGCTTTTGCAGGATCCCCTTGTTTAAAGCAACTCCTGGCTGCCTGTGAGCCAGTGCTCCCAAAGGCCATCGTGTCCTGTGTGCTGTGTGCTGTGACAGCCCCTGTGTGGCACCCCGCTGGTGTCACCTTCAGCTCCTGCTCTGGGAACAGCCATTCTTTGCCCTCATCCCAGATCCTGCCAGCACCTCCTTCCCAGGGTGTCATGGCAAACAGTCTGGGCTCTGCTCCGAGTTCCTGCCTGCACATGACCTGCATGTCACCAAGGCACTGAGTGGGATGTCAGCAGGCAGGAATCTCGGTGTTTTCCCTGTCCAAAGGAATCCAGCACTTCTGAAGGGCTGCCAAGCCACCTGCAGTGCAGTATCTCCCCAAGGGACACCTTGCCAGGTTCCTCCAAGAGATTTTGGCTGAGGAAGCAATCAGGGAAGGAATTTGAACTTTGTTTCCCACTTGGTCAAATGTTTACCTCCTGGGAGGCTGTGGAATCAGGTTAGGGAGGTGAGTGGTGGCCTGGGGACCAGCTACCCCTGCATGCCCAGAGCTGCTGCATGGCAGGAATAGGGAGCAGGAGCACAGCCATGTTTCCTCATGGAGCTGGATCACTCAGTTCCCAGAGGTGAAGGGGTTTATGCTGCTTTCCTTACAGCTGGAGGCTAGTTTAGAAATAGTGTGTGATCCCATGGGGGTCAGCAGTGGGAAGCTCCTGCTCCAGACTGGAGATCTGGATGCTCTGGCCCTGAGGATAACTCCTTGTCTGTGTCCTGAATCCTTTTCCCCCATGTTTCTCTCAGGGAAGCCCTCCTAGGAGCTTCTGTTGCACTGATTTCTTCTGCTGTTAGAGCAATGCCCGTTCAGTTGGGAAGCCCTTTCTGCCTGCTCTTTGTCATTTGTCCATGCCTCTCCTTCTCTCCTCAAGCTGGAAGAGATGCTGGAAGCAGAAGATGCTCTCTCTGAAGCCAATGCCCTAAATAACACCAACGCTGAAGTGTGGGGGTATCTCGCCCTCATCTGCCTGCAGGTGAGTGCCCAGCCCCTGCCAGCCTACTGGAGTGGGGGTTTAGGGGGGGTTTGTTGTGCTGGTGGGGGGGTTGGCATCTGCTCATGAACCTGAAGAGCCAGTGTAGAGCTCTGTGATAAAAAGCCTGGGGGCTGTTCTCGGGGAAAGTGAGTGCTTGGATGGCAAAAGCAGCACCCTCAGGCACCAACAGCCTCAGGGCATGTCCTCCCTGCTGAGCTTCTTACAAATGTCATTTCACAGAGATCCCATGTCTTTCCTGGGGTGCTGGCCACTGCTGAGGCACCCTAAATCCTGGGATTCTTTTAGGCCCCTTCATGACAGGACAGACATTGAGGGGGCTGGAGCAGGTCCAGGGAAGGGAACAGAGCTGGGAAGGGTCAGGAGCACCAGGAGGGGCTGAGGGAGCTGGGAAGGGGCTCAGCCTGGAGGAGTTTCAGGGGGGTCCTTGTGGCTCTGCACAGCTCCCTGATAGAGGGGACAGCCGGGTGGGGGTCAGGCTCTGCTCCCAGGGAACAGGGACAGGACGAGGGGAAAGGGCCCCAACTGTGCCAGGAGAGGTTTAGGTTGGGTATTGGGAAAATTTCTCAATGGAAAGTGTGTCAGGTGCTGACAGAGTCCCCATCCCTGGGGGGATTTAAAAGCCGTGTGGATGTGGCACTAGGGGACATGGTTCAGTGGTGGCCTTGGCAGTGCTGGGGGAATGGGTGGATTTGATGGTCTCGGGGGTCCTTTCCCGCCTGCCGCACGCCAGGATTTGCTCCCCGGTGCTGTGTTGCAGGGCGGGCGGCAGCTGGAGGCGGAGCAGTGTTACAAATACACCGTCAAGGTGCGTGTCCGGCCCCGCGGGGCTGCGGGCAGCACAGCCGCTCAGCGGCTCCCGTCCCCGCGTGTCCCGGGCAGTGCCCGCAGCCCGGCCTGACCCCGCTCCCCCTGCCCGCAGCTCGGCCTGCAGAACGACGCGCTGCTGCGGGAGATCCGCGCCGCCCAGCAGCGCTCCGGCTTCGGCGACCCTTCGCTCTGAGCCCCGGGCACACAAAGCCCCGGCCCCGGGTGTCCGTGCCCGGCTCCGGCGCGATCGCGGCGCGACCGCGGGGAGGGGCGGGGGGCGTGGCCAGCGCCCGGGGCGGGGCGGGGCGGGGACACGTGACAGGCGGTAGCGCGCCGCTGATTGGCTGCGGCCGCGCGGGACGGTTGATCCGGCGGCGCGCGCCATGGCGGCAGGTGGGGGGGCGCGGGGGGCGACAGCGGGGAGCGGGACACGGGGTAACGGGACCGGGGGCACATGGGATGAGGGTTCGGAACACGGCGGTGCCGGCCGTGTCACCGCGATGGAGCAGCTCCGGCGGGGCTGGGAGCACAGCGGGAACGGGGAGGGCGCCGGGGATGGGGAAGCTCTGGAGCACGGCGGTACCGGGGGTGAGTGGCTTGTGCGTTTGGAGAGAGCGGTAACACGGATGTCAGCAGTGCTGGGGTTGCTCGGATTCGGGCTCAGGGTCGTCCCTGGGGCGGGGGGCTCCGGGCGCTGTCACGGGTGTGCGGTACCGGGGGTGTCACCGGGCGCAGGGGCAGCGCTGGAGCTGGGGCGCTGCATGCACCGAGGTACAGGGGCGTCACTGGGCCTGGGGGCTCTGCACGCGGAGTTAACGCCGTGCCACCGGGGCTGGGGAGGCTTGCAACTGGGCTGACACCGCGGGGCAGGACCCGCAACACGGGGTTCCGTGAGCAGGGATGTCACCGTGCTCGGGGCACAGAGACAGCGCCGGGGCTGCAGGGTCAGCGGGTGGTGGGAATGTCATTGGGACTGGAGGAGCTCAGGGCTTGGAGGTTCCAGGGACATTCCCGGGGCTGGAGGGGCCTGGAGGAGGGGAGTAATGGGACTCTCAGCAGGACTCTGGGCCTTGGGGGTGTCACCAGGGCTGGGGGGAATGGGGGTAAGGAGATAATGGGGGCATCACCAGGCTTGCATCATGAGGTTCACACTGAGGCTAGGGAGAGTCGGGACATACAGACACTGAGGTGGGTGCTAATGGCACAGGGGACCTCGGGGCATACAGGGGGCAATGGGGGGGTGTCCAGGCTGGGGTTCCATCCCCTCGATGATACTGGTGCTGGCAGCCTGGCAGCGTCCCTACCTGAACATCTTCAAGCACTTCCGTGTGGAGGAGTGGAAGCGCTCTGCCAAGGAGGGGGACGTGACCGCCCTCACGGTAACGGGGCCACCGTGGGGTGGGGGGCACTGGCTAAGGGTGGGCAGTGCTCACCCACCCCCCATCTTTCCCTGGTTTCCAAAGGACACAAGGATGAAGGGAACAATCTACCGGATCCGAGGTTCCAACCCAGCCAGCAGCTACCTGCAGCTGCCACGGGCAGGGACACAGTCCCTGGGGCTGACAGGGCGCTACCTCTACCTGCTCTTCAGGCCCTTGCCCCACAAGCACTTCCTTGTGCACCTGGATGTTGCCACTGAGGTCCGTGACACGGGGTGGCCTCTTAAACTGCCATCGTGGCTGATTGAAGGACAGGGGATGGCACTGGTGGGCTTGGGGCCTGCAGGGTGTGGCTGCTCTTTGCTGCTAGTGGGTCACTCCAGACTGGTGATGATTTCCATCCTGGTGGCATCTCTACTGGAGCCAGGGGATGTGGAGGGGACAGGAGGCAGGGCCACATGCCTTCTCTGCAGCACTTCCCAGCCAAAGCCACCAGGGTGACTAAAGCTCCGTGTGTGTGTGTGTCTCTTCCCAGGAAAACCAGGTGGTTCGAATCTCCTTCTCCAACCTCTTCAGGGAATTCAAATCCACTGCCACCTGGCTGCAGTTCCCCTTCGTCTGCGGGGCAGCCAGCGAGGGCATGGCCCAGCGGGGTGAGGAGCTGGGGCTGGACTGGCACACCACCACCAAAACTAACTGTTAGAAAGTAAATTGTGTTCTCAAGTTGGCTTGATGTGTTTGAAGAGAAGCTGTGGCTGCCTCATCCCTGGGATTGTCCAAGGCCAGGTTGGATGGGATGTGAAGCAACCTGGGCTAGTGGAAGGTGTCCCTGCCTATGGTAGGGGCATGGAATGAAATGGGTTTAAAGGTTGTCTCTCCCAACCCAAACCATTTCAGGATTTTATGATAACAGTGGTGGGCCTGAGCAGGAACCCCTCTGCAGCCAGGTCAGAGCTGTGGCTCCTGGTTGGGCTGTCCCCTATCCCTGTTCTCCCAAACAGTGGGGTGCAGTGTCAGGCCAAGCATGGAGGTGGTAGGATGCCTCTCTGTCCTTCCCCACCCCTGGGCCTACAAGACATGTTTTCCCATCTCCCACTTGGCACAGGCCTGGTGGAACTCTTGCCTGGCAGATACTTCATACTGAGCCCTGTGACCCTTGTGTCTCCTGTCCAGCAAGGTCCATGTCTGTAGCCTCTTTGCCACCATCCCTTTTCCCACCTCTCCTCCCCAGGTGTCCCCGGAGCAGCCCCGGCTGACGTGCGCTGGACGTGCCTGGTGCTGGACCTGCCCTCCATCCTGGCCCTGTACCTGAGCCGCAGGCACAGCCACCTCAGGGGGGTCAAACTCTGCTGCAACCTGCTCGTGAAGAACCTCTGCACCAGCGACCTGCTCTTCGAGCCAGGTGAGGAGCCAGGAGCTTGGGCTGGCCTCTGCTTCCTCCTGAGACTCCAGCCCAGCCTGAGGGGAGCCCATGGGGGTTCAAAGCTGAGTTTGCAGCTCTGTGATGGGAACAGAAAGGGTAAAATACTTGGTACAATGTTAGGTTTCCACACAGGCAGGGACACCTTCCACTGTCCCAGGCTGCTCCAAGCCCCATCCAACCTGGCCTTGGGCACTGCCAGGGATCCAGGGGCAGCCACAGCTGCTCTGGGCACCCTGTGCCAGGGCCTGCCCACCCTCCCAGGGAACAATTCTTTCCCAATATCCCATCTAATGCTGTCATCTGGTAGCTTGAAGCCATTTTCCCTTGTCCTGTCCCTCCATCCCTTGTCCAAAGTCCCTCCCCACCTCTCTTGGAGCCCCTTTAGGCACTGGAAGGAAATCTGGAATGAAATACAGCTTTCCAAACTCTGGAGGAAAGCATCCTCTCATTTTCTAGCTGTAAAAGTGAATGAAAAGAGCAGAGTTAAATATCTTTCTAAGGTTAGAAACTTTTTCAGGAGTAAAAATGAAAGGTGTCATCAAGCCTCACTTCTGCAAGACTTGTGCTTTCATCTGCTGGAAGTGTCTGTGCTTTTTTTGTGTCAAAAATCTCCAACCTGCTTTTTTTATCCACCTGCTCAGTGTGGCAGAGGGACTTTGGTCAAATCCTTTGTTTTCTCTCTTTCCTTTTTCGTGCTGGAATTCTGTCTGAACTGCCTGGCCTGCTGGGAAGCACCAGTGAGGAAGAAGTTATAGGGGCTGCTTTGAAATTCCTGAAACATATTGTATCTTTCTTGAAACCTTTTCTGTTTCACTTTCCTAAATTTAAAAATTCATGGAGGAAATAAGAAAATGGGCAATGAGCCTTAAGAGAAATCTTGTGAAACTGCCGAATCGGTGAACAGACATGACATGAATCTTGAGCCTGGGGGTTTATAACTGAAATCCAAGGGTTTATGCTCTGGGCTCTTCTTGGAGGTTGAGAGTTACAGGAATACAGCTGTGCAAGGTGGGTTTGTTGCAAACCTCAGTTTTGTGCTCTTTGTTTCTCCGGTGGGAAGTGGTGTGTGCCCGTGTCGCTGAGGGAGTGGGATTTCAGGCAGCTCCCTGGGCTTGGAGAGCTCACTGTGCGTGTGTGTCCCTGTCCTGCCAGGTGTGACGTTCACCAGGGCCCGCCTGGGTGACCTGTCCTGCCGTGGGGTGGCTCCCATGCCCCGGGAACTGGCCTTTCCTGTGCCCAAGGGGGAGAAGTGGCACGACCTCTATGACTACATCAGGTATGGCTGCTCCGGTCCCGCTGCAGCTCCCAGGCCTTCCTGCACCCCTGGGAGGGGCAGGATGGGCAGTGCCACTTAAGGAATAAAGATCCAGGTGAACCTGGGCCTGGGTTTTGGTTCCCCCACCTCCAGCATTTAGGTGCTGGTAACAAAGACACCCTTGTGTCATTGCCTTTGGTACCCCTGTGTTTGGAGGACCATGAGGCACAAGGGAAGGGATCTACAGGAGACAGCAAAGAGTGCCAGGCTGAGGTGCCAATGCAATACCCCAGTGACACAGTGCCTTCCTCTGGTTCTGCTCAGGTTCCCATCTGACGGGGCTAAGCTGCTGCACTACTCCATCCAGAAGAACTTTCCACATCCTGTGGCAGGTGGGAATGCTGGGAACAGCAGCCAAGGCTGTGCCACCCCAGATGGGTGCCCTGCGTTTCCAGAAGAGCTTGACCTGCTCCTTGTGTTGCCCAGGTGACCAAGTGCTAGAGGAGCCCAGCTGCCCACTGACCCAGCCGGTGACACTCTCCAGAGCAGTCTGTGACCTGTCCCTCATCCAGCAGACAAGCAGTCCCAAAGCTGTAAGTGCACTGTGGAGGAGGCTGCAGCTCCTTCCTTCCTCCTTCCCATGGAGCATTTCCCTGCATCTGTGTCTTAAATTAAGATGTAGAAGCTGCTTGTTGTCACTGGCAGCTGTTCCAGGCATGGTCTGGTGACCACAGCCCTGCAGTCACTGCCTAGGGGTTCAGTGTGGTACAGCACAGAGACAGGATGTGCCAAGTACCTTGGAATCTCCAGACATCCATCTTCCCTGTCTCTGTGGAGGCAGCAGATCGGTGTGTCTTCAAATTATAGATAAGGCAGTGAAGTCTGGAGAGGAGGGAATGTGAGCAGTGCCCTCAGGAGCAGAGCAGTTTGTGGAGCTGGCACTGCTGGGGCTGCAGGCAGCTGCTCTCAGCTTGGTTTCCCCTTCTGCACTGGGGGTGATGTGAGAGCTGGTGTCCAGACTGGCTTACCAGTGTGGTGGTGGGTGTTGGGAGAGGGACTGGGGGAAGCCATCCTCATGCTGTGGAGAGGGAGAGCTGAGGAGCACAGCCTCTCGTATTAGAGAGTGTCCAAAGGATGGCTGTGGAGGTGGTGAAGGGTCTAGAGGGGAAGAGTAAGAGGTGCAGCAGTCACTTGCTTTAATCAGAGGGAGAAAAAGATACTGAGGTCAGCTTTTGTCAGGGGCTGCAGCTCCTCCCAAGGGGCAGCTCTGATCTCTGCTCTTTGTGACAGGGATAGGACCCAGGGAATGGCTGGAGCTGTGTCAGGGCAGGTTTTAATGGATATTAGATAAAAGTTCATCCTTCAGAGGGTGGTTGGGCACTGACCAGTCTCCCCAGGGCAGTGGTCTAAACCTGCCAGAGCTCCATTTGGACAAGGCTCTGGTTGGCTGTCAGGAGGAGATGAACTGTGCACAGACAATGCTGGGGGTGTAAGGAGAGAGCTGGTTAACAACCTGGCCAAGCTAGGTAACCACAGGGCTGCTCTGCCTCCACATTTTTTCCTCTTTGTTTGTGTTGCTATGCAGAGCCCTCAGGACAGACATGGCTGTCTCCCTGTCTGTGCCCCTGGGCAGGTGGAGGGCACTGGGAGGAGAACTGAGCTCTGTCTGAGGCTTTCCTCATTCTCAGGTGCCACATCGATGTCCTGCGATCACGAAGAGCATCCCTGAGGTTCACCTGGCAGTCCCAGGGCCTCTGGGAGCTGTTCCTGCTGGAGACCCTGTGCTGGAGGAGAAGCAGAGGCTGCACAGTGCAGGGGACACGGGGCAGCCACTGCCACTCGGTGATGGTGGCATCCATGTCTATGCTCATCGGAGGAGGGGACAGACAACCCGAGCTGTCCCTGGCTTGGAGGAGGTGTGTGAAGTTCTGGAGGGTCACAGGGGGGCTTTGGGGTATTTCTTTGGAGTATTTCCCTTTATTTATGATGAAGGGAGAGAGGGAACACAAGGTTCACGCTGGAGTTTCAGTTAAACTCACAGTCCAAGAGATGCAGAGGAGCAGTTCTTCCCACTAGCATTCTACTTGCCTTGACAGAGGGACCCTGTGTTCAAAAGTGCTGACCTTGAGCCACAGGTTTGCCAGGTGTGTACAGGAAGGGCTCTGGCCCTTATGCCATCCCACAGGTGAGCTCCAGCCTGCAGGACAGCCCTGGCAGTGTCCAAGGCCAGGTTGGACAGGGCTTGGAGCAACCTGGGCTAGTGGAAGGTGTCCCTGTCTGTGGCCAGGGGGTGGAGGTGGATGGACTTTAAGGTCCCTTCCAACCCCAATCAGTCTGGGATTCTCACAGTGGCCCCAGGGCATCCCTGGGGCTGGATGGGATAGCTGCTTAACTCAGAAACCCCAGCTCCTCCTGCTGCCAGCTTTGACTCTGCCAGGTTAAATGCTTTCAAGTTATCCCCTCTGACAGGAGAAACCCAAAGCTGCCTCTGTGCTTCAGAGAGCCAAGCCCTGGGGCTGGGGTGCCCCATGGAGGGTGGACCCTAGCCTGTCTCTAAGCGTGATGGTTCTGTCTGGTTTTGTTTTCCAGGGGCTTGTACCAGATCCCATCCTGAAGCTGAGAACAATTATTGGCTTTGGAGGCTGCAGCACCAAATGGGTCAGTGGCTTGGGTGATCTGGGGAGTTGATCTGTCTTTGTGTGGCCGGGATATGGATGTTTTGGAGGTTGAAATGCATCTGAGTGTGGCACTGCCTGATGTGGAAAATGATCCCAAAGTGGGTGGGCCTGAGCATCTGTGACAACTGCTCTGCTGTTAGCATGATGAATTAAAAATGATGGGGCCCATTAAACAGAATCATAGGATGGAAAAGCCCTCTAAGGACATCCATGCCAACTGGTTTTCCCAGGAATCCCAGGCCTTCCACTGACCCATGTCCTCAAGTGTCTTTAAATCCCTGCAGGGATGGTGGCTTCACTACTGCCCTGGGCAGCTGTGCCAGTGCCTGACCAGCCATTCTGTGAAGAAGTTTTCCCAATATCCAATCTAAACCTCCCCTGGCAAAACTTGAGGCTGTTCTTCCCTGGGAGCAGAGCCTGATCCTCACCTGGCTGTTCCCTCCTTGTCAGGGAATTGTGGAGGCCCCCCAGCTGCTTCTCATCAGACTTGTGCTCCAGACCCTTCACTACATTTCACTTCTTTTTGATACATTAAAACTGGTGCTGCTTTGTTGGATGCTGGAAAGGAAGGGCTGTGTTTTGGGTTGTTTCTGTGGCACACTGGGCCTTGCTTGTGATCTGTGTTAGGGTAAAGGAAGGGTTGGTTTGGTTCAGTCCGTTCAAGGCTCTGCCAGTGTCGCTGTCCAGGCAGGACAGGAATGGATAGACTTGACTCAGAAGGCTGTGAAAGTAAAACTCCAATTTATTCAAAATACACTGCTCTTTTATACAGAGCTTCGTAAGGACCAAATCCATTGGTTCTGAAGTGAAAACAACCCACCACCATTGGTGCAGAGTGCTTGACACACAGTGATAGAACTTAACTATAAACAATGTGAAAAACAAGAGAGATAAAGAATTATTTACATTCTTCTTCAGCTCTTTCCCAGGCGCCTGCCTGGCTAGAAACTCTCCGTTTCTTTCTTTGAATCTGAGTCCCACATGCCAGCAATGTCATTTTCCTTGTATCTGCTGTTCAATAGTAGGGAAGGGACCTTAATGCCCATCCCATTCCATCCCCTGCCATGGGCAGGGACACCTCCCACTAGCCCAGGTTGTTCCACAGCCCATCCAGCCTGACCATGGGCACTTCCAGGGCTGGGAAGAACTCTGTGCCTGGGCTGTGGGGCAGTTCTGGAGCCGTGTCCCCCCTCTCTTGGTGCTGCAGGCTCTGTGGACACAGGACAGCACGGCCGTGGTGTACCCCTGCCATGGTCAGGGACACCTCCCACTAGCCCAGGTTGTTCCACAGCCCATCCAGCCCGACCCTGGGCACTTCCAGGGCTGGGAAGAGCTCTGTGCCTGGGCTGTGGGGCAGTTCTGGAGCCGTGTCCCCCCTCTCTTGGTGCTGCAGGCTCTGTGGACACAGGACAGCACGGCCGTGGTGTACCCCTGCCATGCTGTCATCGTCACCCTGCTCCTCAAGACTGGCGAGCAGAGGTTCTTCCTTGGCCACACGGACAAGGTGAGTAGCCCCTGCAGGCCCTGATGCAGCGCTGCCCTGCAGCCTGGGGCTCTCCTGGGCTCCTGGCTGGCCGTGCTCCCCGCAGGTGGCGGCGCTGGCGCTGGGCGGGAGCGGCACCGTGCTGGCCTCGGCGCAGGCCGGGCCCCGCAGCCTGGGCCGCCTCTGGGACTTCCCCACGGGAGCCTGCCTCTGCCTCTTCAAAACCTACCTGCAGTCCCTGCTGTGCCTCAGGTGGGTGGCAGTGCGTGCAGGGGTGTGCTCAGCACTGCAGCACAGCAGCTTTTCCCTGCTGTTCCTGCCTGAAAAGCCAGGCATGGGTTACAGCTGGCTGTATTTGTCACCGAACCTGCTGCCAGCTCTGTGCTGAGCCTTAGGTCTTGCTGTCTCCCCATCCCCGCTATTTGTCCCCTTTTATGCCCTGTGAGGATGAACCCAGGGTACAAGGAGCTGTTTTTTACCAAGTCTCTCTTCTTGCAGCTTTTCCCACAGTGGAGCTGTTCTGTGTGGTGTCGGGAGGGATGTGCACAGCAAAATGGTGAGAGCTGGCACTGGGGCAGGGAGATTTCCCTGAGAGAGCTGTTCTTCCAGATTCTGTAGTTATTTTCCAGGCAAACTTCTGCTCTCAGCTTTCCTAGACATGTACTCGGGGGGCATCCCTTTCTCCTTAGCTGCCAGAGAATACTTTCCCTCTGCCTGATGCTTGTGGATGTTCCTCAGCTGCAAGTGAACAAATCCTTTTGGAAGCAGCTGGAGAGACCTGCTGGGGTTGTGCTATGGGGCTGTTCTGTCCCTGGTGTGGTCCCAGCCAGGACCCAGGCAGGGTGATGGGATTATATCTTTATTTTAATAGCATTTAGGGCAAGATACGAGGTGAAACCTTCCAGCTCCAGGCATCGCTGTGGGAAGGGATGCCTGGCACTGGAGCTGCCGCCCAGCTTTGTAGCTGGGGATGACGCAGATCCCACGTGTAGCAGTCAAAAATAAACTTGTTCCATGGGACTGGGGGTTTTGTTTTGTCAGTGGAACTGTTTTTTATCCTTTAGTGACGACCATCAGCAATTAGCTGTGCCATCACTAAGTAAAGGAAAAACCACACAGTGCTCTGTGTTTTTCCCAGCACGTGGCACTGTTCTGTGATCCGTGTGGGAGCTGGGGAGGTGGATCAGTGGGTGGAAGCAGGGTGGGAGAATGGGGGTGCTGGGGGGAGTACCTCTCCCAGGGTGATGCCTCAGCCCATCCCAGCCTCCGAAGTGATGCTGGGTTTGCTTTTAATGCTGTTCTGGAATGCAGAGCATCCTCCTGCATTTCTGCAGGCATCTGCCCCTTTGCTTTGTGCAGAGGGTTTGACTCTTGGCCCTGGTGATGGGCACTGAGGGCACACAGACCTGTACTGAGCAGTGGACACGTGCTGCCTCCTGCTCCCTCAGCCCTGGGACAGCTCCTATATCCCGTCAGGCAGAGTTCCCACTGCTCTGTGGGTTTTTTTTTTCAAGTCTGAGCCCTGTTGCCAGGCAGCCCTGGGATTTAGAACCTCTAATTATGGATTGCAGACAAGGATATTGCCATGAAGCTTTGCAACGCTGTTGGACTGTCCTAAACCCTCTGTGCAATGGGTTTTATTTCCCTGCTCCAGCTCTGTTATCAATACTTTGTGCCCAGCTCTGGAGCAGCTGTGGGATGAAAAGCTCTTCTGCTGCCAAGGTTTTGAGCAGCTTTCCCATCATATTTTCTTGCTTCAGATGGTGGTGGTGTGGAACACTGCTCAGGTGACCCGTGGTGGAGGCGTGACTGTGCTGGCCAAAGCACACACAGATGTGGATATCCAGGCCATGAAGATTGCTTTCTTTGATGACACCAGGTAGTGTGCCAGGAAAAGAAATTGATAGTATTGATTCTTATATATTGGGAAGGAATTGTTCCCTGGGAGGGTGGGCAGGCCCTGGCACAGGGTGCCCAGAGCAGCTGTGGCTGCCCCTGGGTCCCTGGCAGTGCCCAAGGCCAGGCTGGATGAGGCTTGGAACAACCTGGGACAGTGGAAGGTGTTGCTGTCCATGGCAGAGGGTGGAATAAGATGAGCTTTAAGGTCTCTTCACCCCAAACCAAAATAAATATTTTATTTGATAACTCTGGCATGGCTGGGGGGGATTGTGGTGGTTGCTGTTGCTGCTCTCAGTCTGTGCTGTCAGTGTCCCCTGGGACACCACCCTTCCCCCAGGGGCCTGGGGAGCCTGCCCTGGTGCTCAGACCGTGTCTCCCGGGACAGGCTGGTGTCGTGTGGCCGGGACAACATCAGGCTGTGGCGCGTGCGGAGCGGAGCCCTGCGCTCGTGTCCCGTCAGCCTGGGCGAGTACCACTCCTTGGAGTTCACCGACCTGGCCTTCGAGGCGGGGCCCGCGCCGGAGCCGGAGGACCGTGCGCTGTAAGGGCCCGTCACTGTCCCCCGTCCCTCGCAGCATTCACCTTCCCCCCGCCACGGCGCTTTGCTGGGGCTCTCCTCAAAACTCAGCTGCCTTCTGGAGCTGGGAGAGGCTCTCCCCACTCAGCACGTGTCACCTCCCGAAAGGGGTTTGGTTGCTCACAGAACAGCCTCTTTGCTCTTGCCATGCTGCTCTTGTGCCATATTTAGTGACTCTCTTCCTCTTTGCTCTTGCCATGCTGCTGTTGTGCCATATTTAGTGACTCTTTTCCCACCTGAAGCTCTCTGTTGGATTCCTGGGTCAGCGGGAGGAGCCTAGTACACATCCTCTTGCATACAGACACACACTTTGTTGCTTATTTTAATCATCAAAGCCAGACCTTTGTTGCCACCCTGTGTTGTCCCACAAAGGCAGAGCTGTCAGCTCAGCCAGCCTGTGGCAGAGGTAGGCTTCTTTCTGGAGTTCATGGCAAGCTTTTAGCTCTTTTACTAATTTCTATTTCAAAGGCTCAGAAAACTAAATAGGAAGCTCTGACTTCTTTGGAGGTGTGTTGAACACTTGAACACCTTGTTGACCTCTTATATTACATGGGAGCCAGGATTGCTTTACGCAAACAAGGTAAACCAAAGTGGTTTTTTACTAAAAGCAACTCTCCTGTTTTTTTTTACAGCTTTGTGTGCAGCAGGAGTGGCCACGTGCTGGAGGTGGACTACAAGAACATCTGTGTGAGGAGTGCACGGCGCCTGCTGCCTGCACAGCCCCAGGGGGACGGGCAGGAGCAGGCAGGGAGCAGCTCAGGTGGGAGCAGGAGAAGGCAGGGAGAGGGTAAAACCAGCCAGTGACCACCTCCACCACCATCGGGGTCAGAAATCTGCTCAGGCCAACCAGCTCTTTACCTACTGCTGAAGGATTATTTTGGGGTTGATTAGATCATTGCTATTTGCCTCTTAAGGACTGCAAATAATCTTCCTTAGTACAGCAAAGTATCGTTTTAAGAAAGATTTTAGCATTTTAAATGCTGATTGCACTTTCAGAGAAACACTACTTTTAGAAACATGAGACAAGGTCTTCATTTGCTGATGGGAGGCTTAATGGAGAGATGGAAAAAGAACTAAGATTAACAAAAAAGATGAATTTGGGGATTTTTTCATTATTCAGCTGGTGTAGAGTGTTTGGGGAATCTTTGTTGCTCTACATTAAGTAGACCAAGTTTCAGCTCTTCCATTTACTTGAACAGCAGGAAGAATTCACTTTCAAGTGTGATTGCTCTGATATCTTAAAACTTAGTGCATAGTTTGATAGTTTGCTTTGGCAAATTGAGCTAATTAATCTATAATGTGGCCTTTGAGAGGCATGTAACAGTTCTCACTTCATGGGCAAGAAGGGGCCCAAGAGGAGATGAAGCAAAGTCCTTGGTGCCTCCTGGTCTCAGTGCTGGCTCTGACTTATGGCCTTTATACCTGAATTTAGGTTGGATATTGGAGAAAATTTCTTGACTGAAAGTGTGATAGGCATTGGAACGAGCTGCCCATTCTATCCCTGGAAACGTTCAAAAAGCCTGTGGATGGGCACCAGGGGACATGGGCTGGTGGGGGGATAATTGTTGGACTCAATGAGGGTTTTCAGCCTTAATGATTCTATGAATCAAAATCTCCCAGTTTGTGGATCTGTATCTCCCTTTTGCAGAGAGGCTTTGGGACAGGGCAGTGAAAGGGTTTGTACCTCAGGCAGTTATCTAGGATATCTTTTGCTACAGGATCCTGTTTGAGGCAAAAATATGGCAGGGGTAGGAATCTTCTGTGCCTGGGAAGAGTTTCACAATGCTAAAGATGAGTTTGGAGCCCTGAGAAGGGCTGGCTGAGACCCTTCAGCCTGTTCTGCCAGTCACTGTGGGGTTCCTGCATCCTCCTCAGGCTCCAGCTGGCTGTGGGGGGACTACCAGACTCAGCTCTTGGGTGGGCCCCCTCTCAGGTTGAGTTTTCTTGTTTCACCTGTATAAGGAGGTTTTTTGGGTTTCCAGGCCCTGGGATTGCTATAAACAGTATCAGTATGTCCTTGACCTTCTGTGCCACGGGATCAGAGGATGGCTACATGAGGCTGTGGCTACTGGACTTCTCAGCTGCTGTCCTAGAGGCAGGTGAGTAGAGGTGGCAGTGGTGCTTCTGAGCTCCCCATCTCCTGCTGCAGATCCAGAGCTCCACTGCCACAGCTCCCACAGCAATCCTCATGAGTCAGGGCTGTGTTACGTGTGCTGCCTCCAGGGCTGACTGCCTTGGAAGTCTTCAGTGGCAATTATTCGTGTTTATTCTTGTAACTCATAGGAAAAAGGCAGGATCTCCTGGGAGAGAACAGACTTTCCATCTTGATTTTTGTCCCCTTCTTGCCATAGCTCATCTGTCCATGAAAAATTAGGGGAGAAGTGGAGCAGTTCTTGATTGTTTTTGAAACACACTCACCATTACAGCAGAGCCCAGGGACCTTAGGAAGGGCAGAGACTAATCTCTGTAATCTGTCACAACTCACACCTGCAAATGTTCAGTCTTCAGGTGGTGGGCTGCTCATTCCCGTGGGCATTGCTTTCCTAAATGCGGGTCTGTAGCTGTGTTCCAGCTGCTCCTTCCCCAGTGGATTTGTTGACTCCTGTGTCTTTCCCAGAGCATGAGGCTTCCGTGAGTTCTGTCTGCATCAGCCCAGACAGCCACAAAGTCCTGTCCACGACAGCTGCTGGGGCTCTGGGCTACCTGGATGTGCAGGCCCGGGACTACAGCACGCTGATGCGCTCCCATGAGGGCTCCGTGCTGGGCTTCTCGGTGGAGGGCAAGTGGAAGCAGATAGCAACAGTGTCCCAGGACAGCACCATCCGAGTGTGGGACCTCGCCTCCAGGCAGCAGGTGGGTGACACAAGAGGCAGGTGGTGTCTCGTGTTTGTTGAGAGTCTTCCTGGTCTGTTTGCTGCATCTATCAAAGCCCCTCAGTTCAGGAGCCCTCCCTGAAGCCTGAGGGGTACCGTGGGCAAGAGACCCTTTAGAAGTACAGAGTTCTGAAGTATTGTTAGGCAAAACTATTTCCTTTTCCTCCATCTTTTGAAGATTGGTTTTTAGCACAAGCCATAACACCCAAGGGCTTTATTTGAGTGCCCAAAGACCCAGGACTTCAGTGGGCTTTGGATCCATCCAGGCAGGAGCAGGGACATGGTCATGGTGGAGATGTGAGGCTGATCAGTTGTTGGGTCCAGCTGCAGCTCCAGTCTTCTCCAGTTTCATGCCTGTGGTGTCTCTTCCCTGCAGCTGTATGACTTTTCAGCTGCAGAGGAAACTCCTTGTACTGTGGCCTTCCACCCCTTCTGGAAGATGCTGGCCTGTGGCTTTGACAGCGGGGTAGTGAGGACCTTCAGCCTGGCTGCCTCTGACCTCCTGCTGGAGCACAAGTGAGTGGACTGAGAGCTACACGGGGTCTAACCAGGTGTGCTGGTGATGAGACAGAGCCACAGTGACACTCGTGGAGCTCCACAAGCCTCAGGTCCCAGCTGGGTGGGTCTGGGGCAGATCCCACAGCTCTGGGTGGTGAAAGCCCAAGCTGTGAAAGCCATGAGGGCTTCCCAGTGGACAGCAGTAGGAAGGAGCTTGTCCTAGAGAGCAGCTGGGCGGGGAACCCTTGTGAGCCTCTGTGGGATTTGGAGGATGCTCAAAGGGAGGAGGAGCAGGTTCCATCCAGGCTGGAGCCTGCACTTGCTGCTCGGTTTTCCAACAAGTCACAGTGTTGGGTGTCCTGGGCTGATACAGGGTGAGCACAGCAGGGTCCTGCTCTGTTCCTGGTTAATTTATCCTCTTGGGTTCTTCATTGTGTTACACTCATCATCACCACTGTTCCCTCTGTCTGTGATTCCCTTTTCCCTTTTCCACGTTTTCTGCCCTCTTTCAGGCAGCACCGCACCGCGGTCAGCGGGCTGACCTTCTCTCCAGATGGCAATTTCATGTTCAGCTCCTGCTTGCAGGGAACTCTGGCTCTGTACAAACTTGCTGCACGGAAAATCCAGGTTCTGAGAGTCGTGGGTAAGACTCTGGGGTTGGGGTTGCCTTTCTTCTTTTTCTATATTAGTAGAGACATCTTGACCCCAGAGCCAACCCAAACTCAGCCTGCTTGGAGTGATATTTCCCAGTGAACCTTCTGAGCTTTGTCATTTCCCCCTGCACTGGGCATTGCTGAGGCACCTCTAGTCCTGGGGTCAGTTCTGGGTCCCTCACAAGACAGACACAGAGGGGCTGGAGGAGGTCCAGGGAAGGGAACAGAGCTGGGAAGGGGCTGGAGCACCAGGAGGGGCTGAGGGAGCTGGGAAGGGGCTCAGCCTGGAGAAAAGGAGGCTCAGGGGGAACCTTGTGGCTCTGCACAACTCCTGACAGGAGGGGACAGCCAAGGGGGGTCGGGCTCTGCTCCAGGGAACAGGGACAGGACAAGGGGAAAGGGCCTCAAGCTGTGCCAGGGGAGATTTAGATTTGATCATGGGAAAAATTTTTCATTGGAAGGGTGGTCAGGCACTGGCACTGGAAGGATTTAAAAGACATGGGGATGTGGCACCTGGAGACATGGTTCAGTGGACTTGATAATCTTAGAGTGCTTTCCCAACCTTAATGATTCTGTGATTGTTGTTTGTACCTTCTGTGTGAGCAAACCTCAGTGACTGCCAGCACTTCCCTGCCTGTCCTGGTTCAAACCCTCTCCTGCTGGTGTGATGATTTCATGAATGTGCTGGGGTCACAGAGATTTATTCATGCCCAAGCCCTGATGCTTTCCATTCTGTACATGTGCAATTTAATTTGTTTGAAGTGGATTGTTGCCCTAATCCTGCCTGCAGCAGAGCTGCTCTGTGCTGGTGAAAGGAGCTGGTGGAGAGCTGGAGGCAGGGCAGGGGCAAGGCAGTTTGGGAAAATTAGTGTCACATTTAATGTATACTTTGGAAATGAGTTGTGACAGCACAAGCTTGGGCAGGGAAAGGGAACTCCGATTTTTATACTGTGCAATATTGCACAAAGAGGAGGAACCTGCCCCAGAAAGTGTGCAGGAGAAGGAACAGAGGTTGGAGGAATCAGGGAATTCATCCAAAACAACCCAGATTTGGTGTCAGTGCTGCAGCTGGACTCTGGTGACTCTGCTCTGAAACTGTGTTTGCTGCTTTGCTGCCTGGTCACGTTCCAGGGACAGAACAGTGGAATTATGGTCATGGAATAAATACAGAGAATTGCTGTAATTTCTGTGATTTTCAGACCTCTGGGTCTCTCTGCCCTCTGGACTGATATCAGTGTGGTGGTGTTCAGCACTGACCTCATTCTGCTCTGGGTTCAGGCACCCAGGCTGCAGCTCAGATCTCAGAACTCTTCATCACAGCCTCTTGTAACACTAAAAATTAGCCCTAAAATCGATTTTATTCCTTTGGCTTTGTTCTGCTCTCCTTGAAAATGCTGTGTGTTCACTCAGGCAACAAGCTGTGCATCTCAACCTTGGTTTTGAGGTGGTTCACTGCACACTCTGGGAGTGTAAATAAAATTTGTAGCATCTCCTACAGTACAGGTTGCTTTTTTTCTCAGGCTGCAGGAGGAGCTGCAGCTGCTGCCCAGCAGCACCATCAGAGTGGGCTTTGCTGCTCCTCACTCTCTTGCTGTGTCCCCCAGGCAATGTGGTGGCCCGGGATGCTGGGAGTGGCGTGGACACTCTGGTGGTCAGTGGGGACAGTCGCCTGCTGGCCTTCGTGGGGCCCTCCAAGTACGTGGTGACAGTGATGGAGGCCTGCTCACTCGATGAGGTACCCAGCAGAGTCCCCTCACTCCTGGGGACAGGGCTGTCCCCTGGAAACTCCATAGGTGAGGTGGATCAGGGCGTGGGGCTGACAATGAGCTCCCTGCTTTCCCTTCTGTGAGACAGAAATAACAAATTTGAGGTTTCTTCTCCTCTGACTTCATTCCCCTCTAGAAAGATAATTTGGAGAAGTGCTGTGGAGGCTGTGAGCTCTCACCTGTCTCTTGACCTGCAGCCCCTCATTAAGTGGGAAGGGAAGGGTCCAGGGGGCTCCATAGCCTCATGTTAGGAGCACAGGAGCAATCTCAAGGCTCCTGCAGTGGTTGTTCAGTGGCTCTTTGTCCCACAGCTGCTGAGGGTGGACGTCAGCATCCTGGACCTGCACAGCACCATCTTGGACTCTGCAGTGAAGGTCTGCTTTGGTCCTGTGCCTCAGGGCGAGCTCCTGGTGTCCACTTCTTCCAATAAAATCCTTGTGCTTGATGCAAAAACCGGACGGCTGGTGCGAGAGGTAGGACACTGAAATTCATCTATGAGGTCTCCTGTGTGGGCTGGGCACTTCTTGTCTCTCTGGGAGGTTAAATGAGAGAAAAACTCCCCCTGGAGCTCACAGCCTTCAAAGAAACACAAGTAGGAAGCCTGAAGCTGCCCCAGCGTTCTCGTGCTCAGGGTGAGCCGAGCTTGTCCTTGTTTTCCACACTGTCACACTACTTTTCTCATGCTGAAATGTAAATCAGGATATGAACCAGCTCAACTGAGGCTGCTGGTGCCATTTCTTGTCCTCAGGTGTCCCCTGTGCACAAGCTGAGCTGTTCCTCCTTGGCACTGAGCAAGGATGGCCAGTACCTGCTCACTGCTGGTGACAAGGTCATCAAAGTGTGGGACTATCGGATGCGCTTCAACGTCAACTTCCAGGTACTGCCCACCCGGGAGGGAAGGGGGTGGTGCTGCATTGCTGAACCTCCAGAGAAGAGAGAAGCAAATGGACTCTGTATGAGCCTGGCCCAGTGTCCTCAGTCCCATTTGCCTAGCAGAGAAATGCAGCTCCAATCACACACTGTAGCAGTGCCTGGCAGTGGGCACAAGCTGGGGCTGCCAGAGCACCCCTGTGAGACCCTCTGCAAAGGACAGAGATAGGTGACAGCTCTGTGTTAGGGACAAAGACAGAAAATGGAGAGGAAAATGGTTCACCCGAGGCTTCAGAGGCAGGATAAGACTTTGGACTCTTCAGCTTTTGCTTCCTTCCCCAAATGAGTGTGTTGGAGGTTGGCCCTAGGTTGAGCAGCCCACCAGTGTGAGAACTGTAGGTGTGATAGATCCTCTTCTGGACCTTCTGCTGAGGCCTGTAGACCCTGGCTGGGCAGGACAGGGAGTGGAGTAACCCCATCCTGACAAGACAAATGGTGATGGGGATTTGAGGTGTGCTCTCTCCCAGGTGTTCATTGGCCACTCGGAGCCCGTGCACAAGGTCGCCTTCACCCCAAACCAAGAGCACGTCATCAGCGTTGGGGATGCCATCTTCCTCTGGGATTTCCTAGCTCCACCTCCAGTCAAGTCATCCCCAGCCAGGTAATGGTGCTGGCAGTGCCTGCCTGTGTCCCCTTTCCCTGCCCCATCCCTGTGTGACTCCAGTCTCCTCACCTTCCCAGGGCTTGTTCCCCCGCGTCCACCCTGGTGCTGAGGTCAGGTGAGTTTGCCTCTTCCCATGGGTTGTGCTAGCAGCTTTCCCAGAGGGTAGGGATTTGGGGGGATGGTTCCCTCCCTGAGGGAGTCATGTAGTGGGGGGAAAACCAGCTAATTAGCCTTGAAGGACAATCTCAAATTAACTGGCAGCACCTCTCAGTCTGCCTAGGTGGAGATGTTCTGAGCAGAGCCACTCTGGGCTTTCTGGTAGATTTTCACCTTTTACCTTCTGTCCTTCTCTGCCTCCATCTGCTCTGTCTTCTTTCTCCCTCATTGTCCCTCTCTCTCTGTCCTTCTCTTTCTTAAAACACAGAGAAGTGGTTTCTATGGAAGCTGGAAAGCTGAGCTTGGAGGTGTCACTGTCCAGAAGGATGAGAGGAGCATGGGGTGAAGGAAGTGACACCAAGCCTTTTCCTTTCCCAGACAGCAGCTCTGAGATGCCCAAGGATGTCTCTGAGACTCCTCGGCAGACAGTGCCTCTTCCACTGCTGTCCTCCCCACCGTGCCTGGATATCAGCTCTGTCCACCCAGCAGGATTTCAAAGTAAGAGGAACTGCTTGCAGGAAAGAGGAAAACAAACCTCATTTTGGGAAAAACTTGCCTAGTTCAGCAGCATCCTTGGAGCCATCCCTACCTGGGATCCCTTCTGGCAGACTTGACAGACCAGTCTGCAATTCCTTCCCCTAAACTGGGTTTAGCTGGGGTTCAGCACCCCTTTATCCTCTGCCCTCCTCCATGTACTGAGCTGCTGGCACAGCCTCTCTAACTGTGCTAAACACCTTGTTGGTCATTCCTAATAGGAATTGTCTGCTTTGCCCTCCATCATAACAGCTGAGCTGTTCCACAGAGCAGGGGAATGACACTGCCAGAGGTCAAGGGGTCAGGCACACATGAAGTGGTCCTGAAGGATGTGGATGATTCCCACTGATTTTTCTCCCCAGGTATTTCTTCTGAGTCGGACAGGGAGGAGGAAGCAGATCTACCAGACAGCAGCTGGAAGGTGGCAAATGAGCACAAAGATGCCTCAGTCATTGTGGTGGAATCAGAGGGAAATGAGGAGCCTGTTGTGAGGCCCAAAGTGAGGCAGGAGAGCTCGAGGTCTCCTGAAAAGCCAGCAAACGGTAAGTCAGGAGTATTGCCAGTTTGTACAGAGCTGCAGGCCTGCATGGCAGCTTGGTCTATCCCCAAAAACAATGAAAGACCATTATTATTACAGGGCAGAGAGACCCAGACACGTGCTCTGAGCTGTGAGGTGAAAGGCTGCAGCATGTTCCTTAGGAGTTTTCCCTTGGGCATGACCTTCCAAGGGAAATCAGTATTGAGGGAAGCTCACACTGATCCCTAAAACTGCTCATTTTTCTGGCTCTTTCCCTGCTGCTGCTTCTGGGCACACCAGAAGCCTGTCTTCAGCCTGAAGCCAGTATCATCTCTGAGTGGCATGTCCCATTAAATCCAACTGCAATTAAAGCTCCCAATGGCTCTATTAATAGCTGCACAGCCTGGGAGCTGCAGTGGTGTGTGGCAACCTGCCAGGAGCAGGCAGCTGCCAGTGCTCAGCTTCAGCAGGACTTATTGGAAAACCTCAGGATAAAACTGCCCCCAATGCTCCTGTTGAAGACCTGGAGCTGTGGGACTTGTGGTTTCACAAGGATGCCCAGAGGATGAGGCATGGTTATCCTTAAGCTGTTTGCAGTGTGATGTGACTGAGTGGGTGGGGGAAATTTAGGATTCTTGAATAACTAATTAGCATGATTAAGTATAATCTGTTTCTTGTTTACATTAAGTACTTATTTATATATTATAACTCTTCTGTATAAGCTGATTATGAATTTTTTATTGGTGTTTTTGTTTGTCTATGTGTTTTGTTTGTACTTTTCAGAATACGTGATTGGTTATAGTTTAGGTGGTTTACAGTTCTTTGTTGCCTCTTTTTTGTGGTCTTGGAATTCGTTTTTTAGCTTCTTCTTTCTTATTTTAGTACAGTTTATGTCTTAGTAACTTTGATGAATTTTAGAGAGCTTTGAGCAAGTTCTGGTAAGAGCAGTTACAAGTGAAATGGCTGGTGCATGCTGTAGTCCAAGTTGTTCAGACACATTAATTCAAGTGGGAAAGGACCTGATCCAGGGAATGGCTGGAGCTGTGTCAGGGAGGGTCAGGCTGGATATCAGGAAAAGGTTCTTCCCCCAGAGGGTGCTGGGCATTGATTGAGCAGGCTCCTCAGGGAATGGGCACAGCTGCCAGAGCTCCAGGAACACTTGGATGGTGCTCTGACGTGCAGGGTGGGATTGTTGAGGTGTCTGTGCAGGGGCAGGGGTTGGACTCACAATCCTTGACTCCTTCCCACCTGGGATATGCCACATGTGACACTGCAGTTTGCTTTTTGCACAGCACCTGAATATAAGCAAGGCAAGGCACAGCCTGGGTGCTGCTCCCAAACCCTTCCCAGGAGCAGCATCCCATGGGTACCCTTTTCTGCTTTGTGTGGCAGAACCCAGGAAGGCGACCAAAACTCCCAAATCCCAGTGTTCCATCCGCCCAGATTCCTACCGGCATTTCACTCCTCGCTTCAAGGCATCAGTGCTCCCCCAGGTGAGAGCTGTGTTGGTTACCAGGTGGAGAACAGGCATTTTGGGGCTGGGGTAGGTGGATTTTCCAAATTGTTTCCATTTTCTTCTCTGTTGGAAAGCAATTTGGGAAATATGCCCCTGGGCTGATGTTCAGTGAGAAATCCTAATGTTAATTCCCTGTTCTCCTCTACATGTAGCTCTTCCCAGACTAGTAAAATCTGAGTTGTGCTCAACTCTATTTGTGTTGCCCAAATCTGCATACATTTTTATTCAAAAGGAGTGGAAATGGCATGTGCTATTGAGAGTGAAAGACGAGTGAGCAATGGAGTGATTCATTGTGCTCCCATATTTGCGAGCAGCTGCATTGGCAGAGCAGGCTGGGGAAGGCAAATCCATGGAGCGTAGTGAGGAGAGACACAGCACAGCTCCTGCTCTGTTAACAAACACAGCAGGGATAAAACAGAAACTTAACTCAGCCCTTCCCTAAGCTCTGCTTCTAGTGCTGGAGAACAGCTACATCCAGATTTCACCCCCAATCCCCTCTCTGTCCCTCCACCTGGCAGCATTTTAGTCCCAGTTCTCTTCCTGTTGAAATATCTGCATTCCAAGTCAGTGGAGCTCTTTCCCAGCAGGATTAGCAGCTGCTCCTCGGCTGGGCATTTGCTGCCAGCCTATTTTGTGCCATATCTGAAAGCATCTGTGCCTGGCTGTGCTGGGGCAGTGTCTCTTTTGTTACGGAATGTTATTTGTCTCTTCCGTTATGGAATTGTGTGAGTTTTGGCATGGATCTGTGTGGGATGTGTTTTTGAGGACACTCACTTCTTCCTGTGTGGGTGTTGATGCACCTGACCAGACCATTCTTCCAGAGATTATTTTAAGCCAGTGTCTGTTTTTCTTGTAGAGTTTCTCATCTCCTCCAGCGGGCAGTGAGGTGCTGAAGCTGAAAGCAGTGATCGGCTACAATGGGAATGGCAGAGGGAATATGGTGTGGAACCCGGATACAGGTACACTGGGAAGGCTCTGGAGTGATGGAATGTGTTGCCAGAGAAGCTGTGGCTGCCCCTGGATCCCTGGAAGTGCCCAGTGCCAGGCTGGACAGGACTTGGAGCAGCCAGGAATAGTGGAAGGTGTCCCTGCCTATGGCAGGGGGTGGAACGAGATGAGCTTTAAGGTCCCTTGCAGCCCAACTCATGTGTGATTCTATTCTGTGATTCTAGGGATGTGCACTGAGTGAAATTATGATCTCACTGTTGGATTGGGATCTTTGCTTGAACACAGAGGTTCTTTGTCTTAGAAAAATCCAGTAGCTCTTTGCTGTTGGCAAACTTTAGTTGGTGGGGCAGACTCAGGCTTCAGTTGTTGAGTGGACAGAGCAGGAGGGAAGCTCACAAAGCCCATCCTGCTTCCTTTCTCCAGCTGGAATGATGCCCAGCAGCTCTGCTTTACTCAGGGTAGGGAAAGTGAGATTTCACCCTGCTCCCAACCTGCTGCTGCTGAGCTGCATCAAAGAGTCAGCTTTTACGTATTAATGAATCATAGAATTTTCCACGTGGGTTGTGGTGGGGGCTGTATGTGCAGCCTTTCCATGAAAACATCCCCTCTCCTCCCCCTCCTCTGCCAGGCTTCTTCGCCTACTCCTGTGGCTGCGTCATCGTGGTTGAAGACCTGCACTCAGGGTCCCAGAACCACTGGCTGGGCCACGCCGAGGAGATCTCCACACTCACCCTCAGCCACCATGCCCAGGTGGGAGAGGCTGCTCTGCCTCAGGCCAAGGCTTGTCCCTGTCACTTTGCAATCCCAGAACCTAAAATCCCATTTCTCTCTTCCTCCTTCTGCCTGGAGGCTATGGAGATTATTTTAGAGTCAGCTATCTGTTGTGCTGGCTCAGTGTGGGCTGCAGAATGTCCAGAAAAGGGAACAGAGCTAGGGAAGGGCTGGAGCACAAGTCTGATGAGGAGCTCAGTCTGGAGAAAGAGGCTCAGGTGGGACCTTCTGGCTCTCCACAACTCCTGACAGGAGGAGGCAGCTGACAGAGGTCAGACTCTGCTCCCAGAGAACAGGGACATGATGAGAGGGAACAGCCTCGAGCTGTGCCAGGGGGGGTTCAGGCTGGACATCAGGAAGAATTTCTCCATGGGAAGGGTGGCTAGGCATTGGAAGGGACTGCCTGGGAGTGGTAAAGTCCCCATCCCTGGAGGTGTCCAAGGAGGAGCTGGATGGGACACTTCATGCCCTGAGCTGTGTGACAAGGTGGGGATGTCACAGGTTGGACTTGATGATCTTGGAGATCTTTCCCAACCTCAGTGACTCTGTGATTCTGAAAAGGCTGTTCTCTTCCTCTGGGTGATGCTGCCTTTCCCTCCTGCCATCAGCTGAATGGTTGTTTCTCACTGAATTCTCCATTTGCCAGCTACATCCCTTTAATGTGGGATAACTGAAAAAACCGTTAAGACTAATGAGCATTCTCTAATTACACATTGTTCTGTTAGGTTCTTGCCTCTGCCTCAGGGCAGAAGGATGGAGACTCTCACTGTCAGATCTGCATCTGGAGCACCCAGGATGGGGCCTGCACAGCAGAGCTGTTCCACCACGAGACACAAGTGCAAGCCATGGCATTCTCCTGTGATGACAGGTTCCTTGTCACCATAGGTGAGCACTCCTGCAACAGCAGCTGGGGGTGTGGGGGTGCACTCCAGAGCAGACAGCTCATGGCAGGAGGGTGCTGTGAGCACCAAACACCTGCCAGATGTGCAGCAGCTTGTGGGTAGGAAGCTGCTCCGTGGTATCCCTGGGACAGCAGGGAGTGCAGCAATTACAGCTTTCTTCTCCTGACTCACTGGTGCTTCTTAAACCCCCTGTACATGGTTTGTGGTTGCTATTTATAGAGTGCAGAGGGAAAAGCCTTCTTCTGGACTTGTTATTGCTGCCTAGACAGACTTGGACAGAAGTATCCAGGCTCCCAACTGTGAGCCTCCTGCCAGGCAGCCATGCCAGCACAGGATGGATGCTCAAGCTGTCTTCTTTGTTCAGGCAGGGGACATTTAAAGGACAACATGCAATTAGGAAGCTCTTGTTTTGCATGAGAGGGGACCTGTGGAGCAGGCAATACTCTTGCTCCAGGCTGGTGAGGCTGCCTTTGGAAAGGAAAGCAGGCTTTGCTGGAGAGAAAGGGAGCTTTGTACTCTTCAGGGAGCAGTGTGGGAGAGGAGCTCTCCTCCTCCAGTGCTGGTCTGGGCTGCAGGGGAGGGAAAAGTTGAAAGTCTCCACCGAACTTGTGGAGCCTGGGAAAAGCAACAGGAGAGCAGTGTCCTGAGCTCTCTGGAAGCTTGGGAATTTTGCCATCACTGAGGCCAATGCCTTCTGCTCCCACCCAGCTGTGGTGGCTTCCATGGAGGTCAGCTCCCACCTCAGCTGAGACCTTGACAAAGGTGACATCCTGTTCTTTGTAGCCCTGAGTGCCCAGTGTCACTGGAGAGTTTGTGTGGGGCATTCCCCAAGGTGTGCAGCAACTCCCAAGGATGGAGAAATGGCAGAGAAACTGCTCTGCCTGCTCAGTCCCAACCCTGGCTGCTCCAAGTGACTCCACTGCCATGACAGCTTTGCTGCAATCTCCAGTGTGAAGTGCTGGGCCAGTCCTGTCTGTCCTTAACTTGGGCAAGCATCTGTTGTGTTGTGCAGCTTGTACTGTGCACAGGAGGTGTTGTGTCCATGCCTGGAATGGTGTTTGGGACAGTTGTCTCCCAACAGCTGGATGAGGGGGTGATGCTGTTGATGTGTGTGTGTTGTGTGGATGCTTGTGAGCATCCTGAGGCAGCAGAGTTCTTCCTGCTGTCTTTCCCATTCTCCTTAGGGGACTACAATGACCAGGCCATGGCTCTGTGGAGCACCCACACCTATGAGCTCATGCTGTCCACTCGTGTCTCAGAGCCTCTCCATGATGTGGCTTTTAGCCCTTTCGCTCACCAAGACCTCGCCTGTGTGGGGAGGGGAGCTGTGACATTCTGGGTGTTGGAGCAGCAGGGAGCTGCTGTCAAATTCAAGGTAAACCTTCCTTTTACCTTTTAAGATTTATTTTCAGCATCTCTGATTTATTTTCTAAGCCCCTGGTGAGGGCTCTGTGAGAGCTTATGATTTCTCTCAGTGATGTGATATTGACTGTGTACAAACAGCTTTTGGTTGTATCTGAGGCATTAACTGCAGGAATTGAGGGGAGGAGGATGTTTTTTCTCTTGATGTGCATCTAAGCATGTTCATTCTCTTTGACATTGCTGGTTTTTGTGCTCTGGCAGGTTCAGCGTGCCCCTGCCCCGGATGTGCTGGGGCTGGTGGAGCTGACATCTCTCTGTTATGGTGCTGACGCTCTCCTTTACAGTGGGACCAACTCGGGCCAGATCTGTGTGTGGGACACAGAGACCAATTCCTGCTTCATGACGTGGGAGGCTGATGAGGGCGAGATCGGTGGGTGCAGTGCCGGGGTTGTAACAGGGAATGTGTTGGGAAAGAAACCCTGAGCTCACAGACTTCCCATTTCAGCTGTGCTCAGAAAACCAGTTTGCTGTGTTGGATGCAAGATGTGTGGGGTGGCAATGGATCTCTGACCTGTGTTTCCTCAGGGTCCTGGGTTTCCTGGGGGCTTCATAGAATCATTCATGTTGGAAAAAGTCTCTATGATCATCAGGTCCAACCATTAACCCAGTACTGCCAGGTCCAGCATTAAGCCATGTCCCTGAGCACCACATCCACAAGCTGTTTGAATCTTGCAGGGATGGTGACTCCACCACTGCTCTGGGCAGCCTGTGCCAAAGCACCTGCAGTCCTCTAGTCTGTAAAACAGTGCTGGGCTGTAGAACCCTCCCACTTTGCTGCCCAAGTGGCTGTCAGGAGCACCCTTGGAATGATGACAGGATGTCATTGTCACCACTTGTAAGAAAGGGATGGGACCATTGTCAGGCTAAGAACAATTTATTGCTCACATAAACATCAGTCTCAGAGAACATGAGCTTTTAGAGGAGCAGGGAATTGGCCATAGCACAAAGTAGGCACAAGTTCTTTGTTACAAGGCAATATAGAACTTTCTAACATATCACCTTTACTTACTTCTGCTGCACTGTGGATACTTTTGTCCAATGGCTTCTATCTCACTTGCACACATATGCTTCTGTTATAACTTCTAAACTCCAACGTATTCTATACTATTACATTACTACACTAAAACGCCTTCACCATCTTACCCATTTTACAGTTTATTACTTATTTAAGGCATATTCTTACTTACAACTATAGAAACATAAGACTTTTCTACTTAATCTCTATATATTGTATTTTTACATCAATCCTGGCTTCTCCCAGGGCTGCAAATCAAACCCTTCAGTGTCTGTGGAAGTTTCTGTTTTTCTGATTGCCACAGCAGGGAGCAATGGACACTGACAGGTGCCCTTCCTCCCCAGGTGTGCTGCTGTGTCGGCACCAGCAGCTGCTCAGCGGCAGCAACACGAAGCGCATCCGCCTGTGGTCTGTGGCCACCGTGCAGGAGCTGAGGCTGAAAGGGCCCAATGCCAGGTAGGAGCTAGTGGCCCCTGACCTGGCAGCCCCCAGGACCTGTGAGAGGTGGCTTTTCACAGGCAGACACCATGTGCAGCCACACTGCTCCTGCTACTCTTCATCCCTAGCTTCTTCTCTCCATCCCGTGACTGCTGATTCTTTCTGTCTGGATCTTGTGACTGAATTTTTGCCACAGGTAGCTGAACCCTCTTAATAGTGGAAGGGGGTGTTTATTGTGCCTGAAGTTTGTGTCAGTGGTTTGTAGGAATTCCTTTAGGAGAACTAGAAAAAATGCATTGCCTTTGTTTATTCTCTCATGCTATTGCATGCCCTATTTTTTTTTCTTTCCTGTGAAAAAGTAGTTGAAGTACAAATCACAGAATCATGGAATGGTTTGGGTGGGAAGGAGCCTTCAAGACCATCCCATTCCAACCTTCCCTGCCATGGCCAGGGGCACCTCTCACTATCCCAGATTGCTCCAAGCTCTGTGCAGCCTGGTCTTGGACACTTCCAAGGATCCAGGGGCAGCCACAGCTTCTCTGGGCACCTTGTGCCAGGGCCTTCCCACTCTCATAGAAATAATTCCTTCCCTATATCCCATCTAACCCTGCCCTCTGGCAGTGGGAAGCCTCTTTCCCTTGTCCTGTCACTCCAGGCTCTTGTCTGAAATCTTTCTCCAGCTCTTTTGGAGTTCCTTTGGGCAGTGGAGGGGGCTCTGGGGGCTCCCAGGATGAACAACCCCAGCTCTCCCAGTCACTGTTCCATGGACAGGAGCCCCTCATTGAACTGGCTCACTATAAAGTTGGATTTAAAGCAGGCAGAGCGGCTGTTCCAACATCTGAGCCAGTCCTTCTCCCACCCTGCCTTCCTCCAGGTCTGGCTCAGTCCTGCTGGAGCACGAAATCACCCTGGATGGGACCATTGTGAGCGCAGCCTTTGACGACTCCCTGGAAATGGGAATTGTGGGCACCACGGCAGGGACCCTGTGGTACATCAACTGGGTGGAGAGCACCAGCATCCGACTCATCAGTGGCCACAAGAACAAGGTCAGAGGGGCCGGGCCTGCTCTGAGTTTTGCTGTTGCTTCAGGGTGTCTTTCTGCTACAGAAAAAAAGGGTTCAAATGGTGGGGGAGAAGGTATTTTATGACAACTTGCAATGTACCTTGCCTGGTCCTACCTTTGGGGTTAGGTTTACTGTGCATAGTGCCTGGTCCTGCCTTTGGGGCTGAGTTTTCTCTTTCCCATGACTGATAATGTTGGAAAAGACCTTTAAGATCATAAAGTCCAAGCACCAACCCAGCACCACCACAACATTGGCCAGCAAACCATGTCCCCAGGTGCCACATCCACACATTTTTTGGACACTCTTGAGTATGGTGACTCCACCACTGCCCTTGGCAGCCAGTGCTCTTACAAAGCTTTCTGTGAAGAAATTCTTCCTAATATTCAATCTAAATCTTCCCTGGTGCAAATTGAGGACGTTTCCTCTTGTCCTGTTAGCCCAAAAGCAAAGCTCTGCACCATCCTTTATGTTCCCTCTCATCTGGTGTGTCCCGTGAGCAGGATGAATGGGCAGGGCAGGTGGTGTGCTCTGGGCTGTGGCACCCACGGAGCCCTGTTGCCTGCCTTTTCCCTGGAGCAGGTGACCGAGGTGTGCTTTAGTCCCGACGAGAGTCACTGCGCCACGTGCGGGGAGGACGGCAGCGTGCGCATCTGGGCTCTGGGCAGCACCGAGCTGGTGCTGCAGTTCCAGGTGCTCAACCAGGTAAGGGTTTGTGGCACATCAGTCCCTTCCCTCGGGGAAGTGGCCCCTGTGTCACCAGCTCTCTGCCAATTTCCTTGCAGAGCTGCCAGTGCCTGGCCTGGAAGCCTCGTCCCGTCGGGGTGTGGCCTTTTCCCGGTGAGAGCGAGCACGTGGTGGCAGGGTACAGCGATGGCACTGTCCGTGTGTTCAGTGTTTCCAGGACAGAGATGGAGCTGAAAATGCACCCCCACGCTGCTGCACTGACAGCAGTCACCTACTCCACTGATGGTGAGGCTGCCTGAGGTGACAGTGGGGACATGTGACCTCGGGGAACGTGGCTTGGTGCTGCCTGGGTTTACCCTGACCTCCAGGTGTTCTGTGTCCTGGCCACCTGCCCAAAACCCCAGGGCCAGGGAGAGCCACAGAACTTGTGTCAGTGAGCTCTGGTGACTCTGCCAGCTGAGCACATGGTGGTTTGGACACAGGAGGTGCTTTGGCTTTGGCATAGCCAAGGGGTTTGAGTACAACAAACACCTTTGTTTTATATTTACTGTGGCTCTTTTCAGTGTGGAGGTTTAATGGGTGTCTCTGAGACATCTCATCATACCCAGCCCTTGACTGGGATGTTCCCAGCCCTTCACAGTGTTTCAGGACACTGGTATCCCATAGTCTTGGACCTTTCTCCTCTGACTTTTTTTTCCTTCTACAAGAAATGTCCCATTCTTTCCCCTCCTCTGCCATCAGGGGAAATGATCTTATCAGGGGGCAAGGATGGGATAGTGGCTGTCAGCAGCCCTCGCACTGGAATGACCATCCATGTCCTGGCTGACCACAAAGGCTCCCCCATCACCGTTCTCCAGTGCACCAGGAAGCAGGTGAGACCTCAGGAGTGAGTCCAGTCCCCATCTGTCACTGCACAGCTCTGGGAAGCAGCATGGTCAGCAAGCTTGATTTGGTGTCCCTTGCTTTTCCTCTTTGGAAATCTTTCTCCATCCCCTCCAGCAACTTCTGAGCAGTTTTTCCAGGGATATATTCAGTGGAATAAATCTCCATGTGTTGCCGGCGCAGCCTGAGTGAGGCTGTGCCTGCAGGGGGACCTTTGGTGGCAGTTGTTGACACCCTGCACACAGGTGTGACATGAATCTGTGCCACAGCTTCTTGGAGAGCAGCACCCCTCAGGAGCAGCCCAGGCTGTGAGCCTGCAGCCCCTGTGGCCCCCAAAAATTGTCCTTGGTAGCCTGTACCGTTCCTCTGGGGAGCTGGGAAGACTTGGCTGTGCAGCCGTGGGATGGTTTGAATACCTCCTTTATCCTCCTCTTTGTGGAGAGTTTTTTCCCTTTGCACAGCAGAAATGGGAATAGTTTTCCCTAAGCTCTCAGGCTTTAAGATCACCTACATTGCAAGGCTGTGTTTCCTGGTAATCTGAGACTGAGGAAATCCTCCTTGATTTGAGGTGAAGGACATGTTAAGGGGCACATGGTATTGGAAATAACTCCCCTAGGAGATGTGCAGATCCAGAGGGTGTTCCAAGGAAGAGAACTGTGTCGTTCAGACCAGGATTTGGGTTAGAAAGGACTTTAAAAATCATCCATTTCCAGCCCCCTGCCACGGGCATGGACCCCCCTCACTAGACCAGGTTGCTCCACGCCTGGTCCAGCCTTGCTTTGGACACTTCCAGGGATGGAGGAGCCCCAAACAAAGGTTAATCCTGGCTTTCATCCCCTAAACACAAGCCCCATGTTCCCATGAGTTCCTGTCCCCTGTTTCAAAGCCTCTGTGCCTGCAGAAGGACAGGGCTGTGTTTCTGCTCACAGTACCACGACCTCGGGGTGGAAGGAGGGGAGCTCTGGCTGGCCACCAGCTCCGACCGCCGGGTCAGCGTCTGGGCCTCCGACTGGCTCCAGGACAAGTGTGAGCTCCTCGACTGGCTCAGCTTCCCAGCCCCTGCTGGCCCTGAGGTGAGTGTGGCACCTGCCAGGCCCTGCCTGCTCCTGGTAGGAGGCTAGACACTAGCAGAGATAGAGGAGGGAGGCACAGGGCTCTCAGAGACTGAGTGTGTGCTCAGGGAAGACATCTCTGTTAGTCCAGTTCACAGAACTTCTTGCCAATGCACCTTCTTGGGTGTGAAAAGAAAGTGTGGCAGTGCCAGGCTGCCCTGGAACACTGACTTTTAAGCATAAGAAACCCTAAACTGCACCTGCAAAGATCTGACAGCCCTGTGCCAGCAAAGCAGAGCCCAGGCAGCAGTGAGCACGGTGTGCAGGAGGGAGAGCTAATTTTGAGCACACTGCTAATTGTGACACTCCTGAGGAGTGTGAGTACTCTGAGCCAGGAGCGTGGTGATGGCTTCCCAGAGCCAAGTACTCAGCCCTGTGTGTCCCTGCTGCTTGGCAGAAGCCACTGGCTCCAGCCCAGGGGTAGGGTTTGGGCAGCAGGACACCTGCTAGAAAAGCAGGAGGATCTGCATTGGAGAGGATGGAGATGGTCCCTGGTGCAGGTGACATTGGCAGACAGAAGGGAGCTGGGTGTTTTTTGGGGGTGCCTCAGCCTGGGTCCATACAGCAGCTGGGTTCTGTCAGTAATTCTGTTCATTTCCAAAAAGATGGATTTCCTCTGGAAAGAAGCTCATTACAGCTCTCCCTGCAGCGTGAAGGTTTGATCTTGCATGCTCTGCTCAAGATCTGCCTCCTGGGCCTTGTTTTCTTATGTTAAGCTGATCCATAACCAAATCGCAGCTTCAAGCCCATGTAGCAGTAATATCTCAGTGGGAATTCAACCTGTTGGACCCTCATGGGACCTGCTCCTACAACACTAAACGATTTGCTTCAGGTTTCCATGGCAGAGTGTAGTTGTTCCTTGCTTTCCCTGAGCCAGAGATGGGAATGCAGGAGGGAGGGAGCAGCTTCCACCATACTCATGTGCCACTGCTCAAAACACTCACTGCCCTGGGGTCCCTCAGTGCTCTCCTTTTATCTCTCAGTGATCCAAACAAGAGAATCCAGCCTCGGTTTTGTTGTCTTCGGTTTCCCTCATCAGGGTCTTGACAGCCTCCCTCCCAGCCTGGCTGCGTTCTGCCCTTGGGAACACGGTGTCCTGGTCTACGTGGGCTTTGGGCTGCAGAAGGAGGCTTTGTTCTACAGCCTGAGGAAGAAACAGGTACTTGTCCTCTGCCATGGGCAGTGAGAGGTGGCAGGCACAGCTGCCCTGTGTGTTACCTTTAGTCACAGGGCTGGGGTGGGCTCAGGCAGCTGCTCAGGGAACAGATTTTCATCTTGCAAAGTCCCGAGTGTGGCCCAGGTGAGCAGCAGAGCCCTGCCCCTGCCTCGGGCTGCATCCAGGCAGGCAGCCAGTCCCTGATCCCAGGGAGGGGAAGGCATCTGCTTCCAGAGCACAAACTCTCTCCATTGTCTCCTGGACGCCTGGGGCAGCTTTAGGAGCCTTGCACCCTCAGCCTCCCCATCACCCTGCACAGCTGTGGGCACTGCCTTCCCCCTTTGAGCTGCCCGTGTTTCTCTTGCTGGGCTGCAGGTGTTCAGGAAGATCTCCCTGCCAGCCTTTGCCACATCCCTCAGCCTGTCCCCTGCTGCACCTTTCATGGCCCTCGGCTCCAGTGGTGAGTGCTGCGTGTGCCTGGGCCCCTCCTTCTTCTGCCAGAGGGGAAACAAGTGTCCTTATTCCTCCAAACAAGAGATATGTCCTCAAACCTGGGAGCTATGGTCCAGGGCAAGGAGAAACCTCCAGGAGACTCCTGGATCACAAAGGAGATGCATGAGATCAATCCTGCTTGTCCACGGGCTGGCACTGGAATGAATTCCCAGGGTTCTGGGCTGTCTCCATTTCTTCAGCCTCTGGGGCAGCAGGGACCTTCCCACAGCACAGGGATGGGCAGGACCCTGCTCCTGGCAAGGGCTCCTCGCTCCTGGGCAGGGTGGGTCCATTTGTCCCGTGTCACTCAGCTCAGCAGCAGGGAGAGAGCCTGGGCAGTGATTGGGAACGGTGCTTCTGGCGGGGAAAAGACCTAGAGAGGGGCTGGGGGTGACTGGAAACAGGGCTGCTGGCTGGGAGAGGGGCTGGGGCTGAAAGGGAATGGTGCTTCAGGCAGGGACTGGAGATGGAGAAAGTGTGCGAGTGCCAGGGCAGGGTGGTGGTGGCACGGACAAGCCCCGGGGAGCGGGTCTGGAGGGCGATCGGGGCCGGTGGGAGCCTGCTGGCCCAGCCCTGAGCCGCTCCTCTCCGCAGACCGGCTGCTGCGGCTGCAGCCCTGCCCCGCCGGGGCCCCGCAGGACTATCGCGGCCACGACGACACCGTGCAGCTCTGCCGCTTCGCGCCGTCCGGCCGCCGCCTGCTCACGGCGTCCCACAGCGCCGTGCTCGTCTGGGAGCTCACCTGAGCCGGGCCGGCCCCGCACAGCGACTCTTCTGCGGCCCGGGACCGGCCCGGCTGCGGCCGCACCCCGCCCGAGCCGCCGCCCCCAGCGCTGCCGGCCGGCCCCGGGCGCGTTCCGCGGCGCCGCTCGCCGTGCTCGCCGTTCGGTGCCGCTCGCTGTTCACCGTTCGGCGCCGTTCGCTGTTCACTGTTCGGTGCCGCTCGGTGCTGTTCGCTGTTCACCGTTCGATACCGCTCGGTGCCGTTCGGCGCCGTTCGGTGCCGTTCGCTGTTCACCGTTCGGTGCCGCTCGGTGCCGTTCGGTGCCGTTCGCTGTTCACCGTTC